TCACAGACACCTGGGTAGCAATCCTAAGCTGCCTCTTGATATAAGCTACCCATTCATCTAGTTTGGTGTCAATAAGCCAAAGCAAACTCAAGTTATTGAGCAGAAACTGAATTTCTATTTTTAGTAACAGTGACCTTGATCACAGACACCTGGATAGCAATCCCAAGCTGCCTCTTGATATAAGCTATCCATACACCAAGTTTGGTGTCAATAGGCCAAAGCAAACTTGAATTTTTGAGCGGAAACTGAATTTCTATTTTTAGTAACAGTGACCTTTACCTTGATCACAGACACCTGGGTAGCAATCCCAAGCTGCCTCTTGATATAAGCTACCTACACACCACGTTTGGTGGCAATAGGCTAAAGCAAACTAAAGTTATTGAGCGGAAACCAAAAGTTGACGCCTGCCTGCCCGCCGACTTCGGCATTACAATAACCCGGTTTTCGTTGAAAAACCTGGTTAAAAACTACTTTACAAAGATAATGAATTGATAAAATCAAGCTCTAGCAAATTGTAATATTTTGTATGAAAGAAAAGGGTCGTCGTCCATACAAAGCTGTTTGATTTGAAGTTTTCATTTATTTACATGTATTGAAATACATCATTATAGCACACAATGCTTTCAAACTGCCACTGTTTTAAACGTGCTCAAGAGTTGAAGAAAAATACATTCCAGATTTTATCAGCTCTGATCTACATTTTGATAATCAGTTTAAGTGCAGCGAGCATATTAACGATAAGAAATGAAACCTATATATGAATATATTATCAACTACTAGTAAGTCATATATATGTATATGTAAGGACCTTTCTAATCCTACACTTTCAAACCTGTTTGTCAAAGCTACATTTTTTAATAATTTTGTCTGCTGCTATTATTTATAACATAATTATAAAATGTCGTTTTATAAAATATGAACATAAATCAGTATGTTTGCTTTGAGGCACATGAGTGCATCTGAACGAAATATAATAACTACATGTTTCGGTCAAAGCAGTTCGACAGACTGTCAGTATGTTCTTGAATCGAATCTAAGACTATTTCGGTCGGTCTTGTTGGATACGCCAGTGTCTTATTAGGTACCCATGTTTCGGACAAGACTCGATCAGGGACTCAGAACAAGAAGATAACGCTAGAATAAATGAAAAACATACTTGAACTTCGTATATTCTTCGTATAGTCAGGGCACGTTGATGAAAGTAACCTATTCTCTGGCTTTGCTCAGGGACTTTATAAAGAAAACAGAAGATACCATGAGAACAAATGAAAAACTGCATTCGTGCCATAATACACAAAATACCTAGTCTGTCAGTCGGTCCGTGATTCCTTGAACCTAGCCCCACAATCCGCCTTGCCTTATAGATACATTTATTTTTTTTAATTAAGAAAATGCTGCGAAAACGACGCCCAGTTTTATATATGCTCCTTAAAGTAAACATTGAATTATCTGTTGATTCTTTATATAAGCATTATAAACAAAGGTCTGCAATGCTGGTAAAATCTTGTATATATATATACTAAGTAGTACTGTAACAAAGGTATCAATATGCATGAAAATGATATTAGAATTTGGTCATGCTCTTATTTTTATATAAGTATTTAACACTTTTTAGTTGTATGTTACCAATATTTATTGTTTGTATGATCAAATTGTAGAAGTAGTGCATAAACGGATAAGATTATAAAATTAAATTGCAAGGAATAAATCATTCCTGGATATAACTGAAATCGAAATATTAATAAAGTGAGTTTGTATTTTGTAAGATTACTTCATGACACTGATAGCGACTTTTTTGTTCTCACTTAAAAGATCCTTTATTTATGATTAAACAGGTCAGTTTGTTGTCACGCAAATATTTTCTATTCTATATTTTGACCTGCACCTTACACTGACTATAGTATGTAAAGCGATGTCAAACTTATCAGTAAAGTTTTCATTAGAGAAAGCTTTTGTGCTCGTCGGAAACAAATATATAGCAGTCACATCGAACTTTTCGTAAGAAATATATTTATACGCGATTCGCTGAAATAGCCTTTTGGAACAGCTCGCCGACTACCAATACCCATATTTGAAATAAAGTGTTAAAAAACAAGCCTTTTGGAACAGCCTGCCGATGTTTGAAATAAAGCGTTGAAAGAAATCCTAGGCGACTTTTGATATATTGTAACCAATGCATAATATCAGGGTCTTCCAAACGGACTGGGTTGGACTATGGTAAGGTCATATGACAACTTTCCAGGATTACCGGCGGAAGAGAATCTCGGGGTTTCCTCCTTTCAATTATGTAATATAACAATAATGACCTACTTAACGTTATCAAGTCATTCACCTATTTTGATGTGACATTATCTTCTTATGGGAACAATTATCAAGCCAAAGAGGCATTGTCCAATTTTGAATTGTACTCTGTTAAGTCTCTATTTGATACATATGCCATAAATGTTACAGACAAGGATGAAAGTTTAGAACATATGGTTCTATCGATTCTCACATATAGTCCAGACGTATGTAGTTTTCATAAGGCACTGGACTTCGTTATGCCTATTGAAATGCTATTCTTTTTATTTCTGAATAGTATTTTATATTTGGTGTCCTGTTAAAGTTTCCAAAATTTTACCTGACACATCTTTTGCTTCCGTTGCTTTTGTTAATTAGTTTAGTTATAGTGATTTAGTATTTTGCCAAAATACTACTATGCCTACATTTAGATTCTTTAATAACAACCAATTCAGTTCTGCTTTCCAACTTGAACACATAAAGTATACGTTGTTACAAGTAATAATGTAATAACATCAACAATGTCAAAATGAATGGGTGCTAATATGTGAAATATGTCAGCTTATTCAACATTCTTGTCACGAATTGTGACAATTGTAAAGAATACATATACAATGTAATGATACATTTTAACAATTATTAACATTATTGTACTTCAACAAAATCTGTATGTGGAGTTGAAATCATCACATCTAACAAAGATAACAGTGTAAGTTTGACTTAATTGCTTAAATTTACCGACAATATTGAATAGGTTCATTGTTGTAGTTAGTAATATTTAAATCTGATATTATTGATGTCATGCACATGCATGAAGATTATTCAACTTTCCTCCCATGGTCTAATTTAAAGTATAAATACAACTTAATTATTTTTACAGCATCGTATTAATTAATCAGTCATGTACGAGCTTGACCAACAAGGTAAATCTATTTTGAAAGGTTTCATATAACGACGTTATTTTTCAAATTAGGTAATGGCGTGAATGTGTACATTCTAGGGCGCCTTTAGAAATATGGTTTGATGAACTGTTGCAGCAAAGTTTGATATATCTCACATTTAAGAATGAAATGGTATTCATCCTCAATGTCGGATTGTACCACAGATTTGTTCGTTGTATTTTTTTTCAATTCGATTTTGACCGGTTTCTATACGTAATGTGTGCGCTGACATAATTTGTTCTATTTGACTTAATGTAAGTTATCACTCATGATGACATCATCCTTAATGTAAACATAAAAAATGTTGAAAATGATGTTAACACGCAGACCGGTTCGCCATTTCTGTGCATTGAAGTCTATAAGCCAATGTTTGGATACCGGAAGAAAATGTGACACTTCTACGATAACTATAAAATCCCAGACGTTACAATCCCCGTATTGTGCAAGTATACTTTAAACTTTACTGGCTGAATTGCTTATGTTACAATTTTAACATTTCTTCAACGATTCTTTAAACACGTATCTTATAATAATGCAATCCGTATTCAAGATATGTAACCCCATCTTTTAATTTTAAATATATTGCACTATGTTATAGTATAAAGACGAGACTGTGCTGTGGTTATGTACGGCTATATGTAAGAATTAAATTGCAAGAAAAAAACTCTAGGTCCAGGACTCTCATTTGATAGCATGCCTTTGCTTGATTCAAATGCCAACATATTTGTCGCGTCTGATATGAAACCATAATTCAAACATAAGTCTTTCGAGTCATTACAATGTATAACGTTTTGGTTTTCTTCTTTAGAGCTCCAGTTTTATTTTTTAAATGATTATGCGCTTTGGTGTTCTTATTCTTATTGTGTACAAATGTTATAAACTCTTGTTTGGTTTATAGAACAGACCAAACCAAAATTTTATTTACATGCTTATACCTATATCGTCTTGCTAACAAAGATTTCATTAAACAAAGTTACATGACTTATGAAAACACGCAAGTGATAAACAGCATTTTCGAATAAGTAAACAATGATTTAAAAGGACAAACTAAATTTTAGAAGATAAATTCATAACAATTATGTTATTACTTAATGGTTTTGCTTCTCAATTCTTGGATAGAAAGTAGAACACAAATGGTCTAACATAATAACACTTTTTAAGATACTGCATTCGTAGTCTATGAAAAGAAGGGCATACACATATAAAGTGATATTCATCTTCTATATCAAATGTATTGCAACATAAACAATATCCTTGCCAGTTTGTATTCTTAAAGGATGTACAGATGATCTTAATCTACAAAAATAAAATTTATATTTACGAGGCAGAATCTCATGATAGCTTTCATAACCAGAATAAAGCTTAACATAGTAATTAAAAAAACAGGGCTCTGTTCTAACGTAGCTGCCCATTCCTGTTTAAAAGTGTCTGTAACTCTACGTCAAAAATGATAGGGAACACGTTTGAATCAACAAAAGTATTAGTAAAAATTTCAGTATATCCATAATCCACAGAGTAGATTTTTAAAATTTTAAACCCAATTGCTGTGTCCTCGATTACAATGAAATAAACATTCTGAGTTTGTAAAGACAATATTATTACTGTTTAAAAAGTGTATATATCTTCATGATCTCTATTGTCATTCTTATTCTTTGGTGATGTTTGTTCATACAAATATGTATGTATCCTTCTTGCGCCATATCACTTTATAGATGACTTTGCAATTTTAACTATAATACTATTTTATAGGTTATATACGTAGGAAAAGTAACCAAAAAATCTATGCTTTACTTTTATTCTACTATATTATCTTCAAAGATAGATAAAACTATTAATGATCGCAGTTAGGACCATGTCCGTGTTGACCATGTGCGTATACACACTCCAGGAACTGTAATATAAAACATGATATAAGTTAAACAACAAATAATCTACCAATTAAATCAATGTCATTAACAAACTCAATTTTCTGCAGGTATTAGCAAACAATGTATTTTTACAAAGAACATTCAGTATAAATTTGTAAGGTACATGGTCTTTTGAACTTCGCACACAAAATCTAAATTTAAATTGAAAATATAATGCACCGTGTTCAACCACTAATAAAGGAATGTGCAATGTGTTGAAGTAACGCAAAATTGTGCGATTCTATGGCCAAAGCGAGCACCACAGAAAGTGAATAACTAATATTTTCTTTTGTATATTATGATGTTTTTGTACATCAGATTAACAGAAACAAAAGTGCCCAAATGGTTGCTGAAATATCATATTTCAAACATCATCAAAATATTTCAGGATCATTCGTGAGAATGACGACCTGGCTAGCCTAAGGAAGACGGCTTTTGTGATTTGTCGCTATCTTTAAATACACTTATGTTAATGCATGTATAACATTTTGGTTTTTGATATTCTGTGTAGCTTAGACATTTGCCAAACAAATGTCATATTGCAAAAAATGTGACTTAAACAATTTGAACAAGGTAACGCCGAATTCGTGAATGCTGTACCGAAGCAACGCTCGTTATAAAAGTAGCTGAATTATATGTTATCGGCTTCCCTCTCGTATTATATAATTTAGAAAATTTGGCAAATGTCTGAGTCATGCCGAATATGAAGCAAAGTTCTAGAAGCGTTATTGTTTTTATTTATTTTTGACAAAACACAAAAGTCGATCTCAAAACATTATTCAGATCGTCATTCTTATTCATGGTCTTAATGAATAAACATATTCTTTGAAATATTTGCAGGTTAACAGTATAATTTTATAGGAGCCTTATACGTTTATTCATTTCTTTTTTATTGGTCTACAATGATATATTTTGGTCTTTTCACTTACCGTATTTCGCGTTTATGGCCATAGCTTTGAATAGATTCGGTGTTACTTTTGCGTTATTTGCACATTACTGTGTAACCAGATGTACAGGGTGTAATAAAGCATTTTTTTTCAAGAAATGTCCTTTTAAAACTAGTTATCGATGCTTATCTGGAAATCGTTTCTATTTTGGTCGTTTTTGTAACTTGTAACAAGGTCTAGTGCAATATATTTTTTGCCGCATAACGCCCCATACGCTACTTCGTGTCAGTCAAAAGTATGTCAGCACAGGTCAGTAAGTAACTTATTAAAAGATTCAACACGTAATATTGATCATTTCACGTAAGGTACCTTTCAACCAATCAAATTTACGCATATACTTTAGGCATTTGATATGCATTGATACTTACGCCGGTCATGTAATGTTCGTATTCGTGTTTAGTAACGATGCCGTCACCTGTAGATAAGAATTTCAGATAAAACAGAATAATCATTTATTGAGATAAAATAATCAATCAAAACCAAAATGAAGATATGTCATTATCTGACAGACAGGCTCTATATCGATAACATAACTTGCTCTGCATGAATTACTCATATTATATGATAGTCACTTATAATACATTATTCTATAAACATTTTCAAAGTTTCAAAGTTTATAGGCAAACACCTTTAGCAATACATACATACATACATACATACATACATACATACATACATGCATGCATGCATGCATGCATGCATGCATACAGGCCTGCCTGCCTGCATACCTACATACGTACATACAAAAAATCAGATCATATGATAATTGTTATGTTATACCTGAATTGACATTAAGTCTGAACTTATCAGAAGTTCTGATTCAAAAACTATGCTAATTTTTATATGAAGCAGCTCAAAGATTGATATTTTCCTCTGTTAATTTAAAACAGTCGTACACACATTTTCACAATAATCTCAATGCACTGGTATTTATACAAGACACTACTTTTGTTCCTTTTCTAAGAGGTGAGTAAAAGGGGAATCTAAGTCTAACTCTAACGTTTATTGGAACATCTTTATTATCTTCAAAGTCATGTGAGTTGAATGAACTAAAATGTGCTGTATTTGATGATTGTTTAAATCAACAATCAACAAATTCCTGATTGATGTCAGATATACTTAACAACTAGTGACTTGTGTCTGTTTATTATTTCGTATTGACATAAACACAATAATAAAAATATTACCAAACACAAAGTTATGCGTACCTAAGTGTATATATCAATTTAACTATACCTCGAAAAAAACTTAAGAAGTACTGAAAACTATACCGTTTGGGTCAAGTAAATGCCCAAAAGCAGTCAAGTGGCTTGCTTGGACGTAACCATCTCTGTCCGAGTCCCATACATTGAAAATTGGCGCCAAGGCCTCAGGTGTCGTTTTCCAGTAAGCGGCATATTCAGCAAGGGTGAGCTTACCGTCATCTTAAATGAATATATGTTTTTGCTAAGTTCAAGTATGGTCTAGTACCCGTTTTTTACTTTATTGTATTTAAGAGTTGCTATATCTTCAGTACGAATGCATTTAATTAAACTTTATCAATAACGTTGTCACATTAAAGTGACACAGAATATATTCATTAATATTTTGTCGTCATGCATATTGTGAAAAGTAGTTATATTTTAATAATATCGTCATAAATGTTAAAATGTATTGTTCGGTCATTAATATTGTCAATACTAAACATATTATTACGATTATACTGAGACTCTTGCGCTTCAAGGGATTTTAATTGAGCATATCCCATTTATGAGCGTATTTTTGGCGGGTAATATGGTTCTCAAAAAATGAAACAAAAAAATCGCCAACGATGCAGTTTCACATAATGTTCGTTCAAATACATTATCTATACAGGCAAATAATGTTGAAAAACATTTTAACTTATTCACTTATCACTGCGAAAGGTAGTATATCAATACCGTATGGTCAATATCATTGCCAAAGATAATTTATCAATATTGTGTTGTCAATATCATTGCCATACTATCTTTTACCGGTGTTTCAATACTGTATGGTCCATATGAATATGCCAAATGAATTATAACAATACTGTATGGTCAATATCATTGTGAATAAGTGAACATGTTTTTCAATTGTATGGTAAAAATCGTTGCCAAATGTATTCTATCAACAATGTATGGTCAATAGCATTAATATTGCCAAACGTACAATACAAATACTGTATGGTCAATATTATTGCCCATGGTAGCATATCAGTATTGAATGGTAAATATCATTGCAAAATGTAATATATCAATATTGTAATGTCAATATCATTGCCAAATGTATAACCGGTATATTAATACTGCATGGTCAATATCATTGTCAAATAAAGTTTATCAATAATGTATGGTCAATACCATTGCCAAATGTATAACATCAATACTGTATGGTCAATATCATTGTCAAAAGTACTATATCAATATTGTATGGTCAATAACATTGCCAAAGGTAGTATATCAATACTGTATCATAAATATCATTACCAAATATATTATATCAATATGTATGATCAATATCATTGCAAAATGTATTGTTATATCAATATGTATAGTCAATATCATTGTCAAATGTACTAAATCAATAATGTATGATTAACATTGCCAAATATATAACATTATATATTGCCAATAACAGTATGCACATCGGAATATTAGACCTATACTTTTTTTAGTTAACGGTTTTATGACAATATATATTCTTTATGGTTTAAAAGTAAAGTAACCTACGGTTTAAGTCCTCATTGTAATATACTTGACTCAATTCTTGTAGCGATAATTCCCCATTTTTATCTGTATCCATTGCATTAAATCCGTTTTCTACCAAAACGTGTAGTTCGTGGCCGTGTGGAAATTGTGACGCGCTGTCAAACAAATGAAATAGAAATATAATTTTAAAAGGGCAGTTCAGTACGATTTATCACGTAAAATATTTATATTACAAATTATTTACATCGTACAATATAATACGCTGTCAAAAAAACTAAATAGTTTCAGTTTTATTTGGCAAATCGGCATATTTAACATACCTTTGGCCAATTTAACAAATACAAATGACGAATATGGCCAAGACATATAACATACATAGTTTACAAGATAAGCATATAAACATACAAACAAACGTGTACATTTTCAATGTTTAAGAAACAGCTTCCGTTTCTAGACATATCTTCCTTAACTGGAAAGCCTAATATATGTATTTTGCAGTTTTATACAGCTTACATTTACTACTACAAGACATAATATTAACAAATTTATGTACATTGGGCCATGAACAATTACCCAAATATTTAGCTCTCAAATCAACATATGCAGGACAAGTTAATAAAAGTGATATTCTGATTCAATCATTTTTGTATTACATATTTTACAGATTCGCTCGTCTCTTTGTGAACCACTAAATCTTCCGAATTCAATTTCTAGCTTGTGAGAACACATTCTGAAACATGTTAAACATTTTCGTAATTTATCATTTCTTATAATGCTCAGATATCTTTCATAACCAAAACATATTTTATACTTTCTATAGTAATCTAATTTAGACATATTCAATGCTGTCTCATTCCAAGATTGTATAAACTGATCTCTAATACGTTGTTTCATAGCAGGGAAATAATTTACATCTTGCCTAAAATTCACTAGAAGATAACTGTAGCCTAAATTGTCAATCAGTTGTTTAATCTTATACGCCCAGCAATTCACATTATTTCCATTGCTATGATCTAAATATAATCTATTCATAGGTGAATCCTGATTTTTCATTATTTTTTACCAATATTTAATAGCTCTTTCTTTACAAATAACAGAAAGTGGGTATCTACCCAGTTCACCAAGAACAGCTAAATTAGGAGTTTGTTGTTTAACACCCAAAACAAGTTTACAAAATTTTATATGTATTTTATCTACTTCAGGAAATTCATAAATACCCCATACTTCAGAGCTATAGAGTATAATTGGTACAACCAAAGAATCAAAAAGTGCAAGCTTCATTTTTATATCAAAATTAACTTTATCATAAAGAGACAAAACTGAATTGTATGCTTTAAGAGAAATATAGAAATATAATTGTTTTTATGTTTTGAGCTGGAATGTTACAATATGACGTTTTGGAGTGTTTGTGCGGAATAACACCGAACAAAAAATGAAATAGAAAATATATGATTATAAAACAACAACAACAAAAACAACATCATCATAATCACAAAGAGTTATCCTGCCTTTTTGACAAAGGGCAGACATTTTTATTTTCAATTTTTAGAGAATGCGTTGTAAAAAAGAAACAAAGCGACCGGTTTATTTTTATGCATTTCCGTTAGAAAAATAAATATACTATCATGTATTTTCTAAATTTGCATTTATGTTAATTAAAAAAAAAGTATTCAGGGGCGTCTGTGACCGAGTAAGTAAGATTTTTGACTTTAAACCACTTGCCTATCGACGCTACGGGCTTGTAATCCCTAAAAAACTTTGGATTCTTTCACGAGAAGAATCTATCCATTTAGCTTAAGGACCGTCGTTGGTTCTACTCAGATGCACATTCGAACCGGAGGGGCACCTGAGTTTTTTACCAGTAAAGCTTGAAAGTTACAATATGACGTTTTGGAGTGAAATAACACCGAACAAAAAATGAAATAGAAAATATATGATAATAATAAAACAACAACAACAACAACATCATCATCATCACAAACTTGCTTTAAAACTTTAAAATGCCAGATAGAACATGAAGTTTATATTTTTCAATCACTTTAAACTAATACACTTGTAACTTAAGTCTTTAAAACGTCGATACATGTGCTACAAATCATTGCACGGCTAAGAACATGAGCAAGCATGTTGTGAAAATTTATTGTTCAAAACCTTTCTTAGTTGTACTGTATTTATGTATTTCAATAAAATATCTGTAAACAATTATTACATTTTGCGCAGCATACTGTTTGTTAAAAATAATTGATAAACACATACAAGTGTATATATTTACCTGTTACAAACAGCGATGCAAACCGACAAAATTATAAAAGAAAGCATCCTTGTTTGCTGCTGGTATTCTGTTTCCAAGTCAATTGTTTATTAGCTCTTTTATAAGTGAGTGTTGCCGATACCACTTTTAAAACTAGATTATGAAATTTGACATTTCTCTGACCTGTCCACCACACAGTACCGATAAAGATAGCAAACCACACTAGAGTATTTTGAAATGTGCCATTCAAACGACATACTTCAAAATTTCGTAATTGTTATGTCACGAATAAAATCTAGATCAGTTAAAAATAAATATCACGTCAAAGCGGCTTTATTTGGAATATCTTTAGATAAATAATGTATTAGCATTTGTTAAGTAAAATAAAGTATAAAACTTTTGAAAAGTATGCTTAAAGTAACATTCAGCGTTTTTGAAAGTTTAGATAAACCGTTTTATATAATTGTTAAATCAAAAGTGTGAAGGTGTGAAATGAAATTTACCGTCGATAAAATGTATAAACAATAAGGAAACCGCTCGATATCTATAATTTATCGGTCCACTCTCTAAAATAAACAACATTAATAACGTGACGATTCGCATCTTCTTTATTTACAAACGAACGTCACTGGCACTCTATAAATAGCTTTCTTGACGATGTTTTGACGAAGGCCTAACAGTGATACATGCATGATGCACTTTTCCAAGACAAAAGTACAGAAATACTTAGTTTAAAACAAGAGTGCTTTGTTTGTTTTCAACAACAACAAGAACATCTGCGGATCGCTTTAAAACGAGTCTGTTTAAAGTATATATTTTTACAAAACAAAATGTACAGAACATTAAAACAATTTTGTATACATGAACAAAGAATTTCATATAAAGTTTTGCGCAACTTTAAATTGTAAAAGCTCAATAGACTAAGTTAAGCGCATACGACACGACGGGACTTGAAATAATTGTTCACGAATTTTCATAATTTATTGTAGGTCTGGATCAATAACGTGTGTGAACTGTTTCAGGTCATTTGGAAAGCGTTATTATCCTGAAAACTAACATAACTTTTGCTGCGAATCGCACACAAATTATAATCAATTTAATTATTGATATATTTCTTTATTATCAATTATATAATTGCTCAGTACTCCAGTTGATCTTTGTAAAATGTTAAGATTTTAAAATTTTGCACTTCAGTTGAGTTTCCTTTAAAATAATAAAAATATTTTACAAAAAATTATATCTTTTTCAGTTTTGTTAAAAGAATAATTCGCAATGCCAAATATTTTCATGAAAGCATTTCTTAAATATCGCCTTAGACTTACACAGATTCATTGCTACACAGATAGAAAAATCTTAATATTTAATAAATATAATTTTTGTTCTGCCGGAACAATTCTGCATTCATCCAATTAATCATGTGTGTTTAATTACAGAGACATTTTTTTACAGCCCATTACCAAATCGAAAATAAGATATTACCTAGATGGATTTTGTGAGAAAGCAAAAATCATTTGATAAACCTGTAATATACTCAAAACCTTCACAAATTTCCAACCCATTATGCTTCAGATATGCTTTATATTTATTTCTAAAACTAATCATCTTGTATCAAATAAAAAGGTCGACATACTTACAAAGCTGTTTAATTAGAAGTTTACTTTTTATGTACATGTATAATAATACATCATTAGGACAAAGCTGATGTACTATTTACACAAAAAGCCATTGTTGTAAACGTGCGCAAAAGTTTAAGAAATATACATAACTGTTCACTGTTTTTATCAGCCTTGATCCAAATTTTGATCTTTAGTTTAAGTGCAGCGAGCATATTAAAGATAAGATATGGAACTTGCATATGAATATATTTGCATATGAATATATAATCAACTTATACTATATCATATATATGCAAGTGAGGACCTTTCTAACCCTACACCTTTATTTACTTAATAACTTTTTTTATTCAAAGCTACATTTCTATATATTTTTGTCTGTTTTGAGGCACATCTATATACCACGAGACTGAACGAAATACAGAAAAGTACATGTATCCGGTCATAGCAGATCGACAGATTTTTCGTGTGTTCTTGAATCCAGACTAAGACCACTTCGGTCGGTCTTGTTGGATACGCCAGTGTCTCAGTTGTTACCCATGTCTCGGACATGACTCAGGGACTCATCAAACGAAGTGAGACATTAAGTGCGTTCTTGATGCGAGGCAGTTACGTTTGGTCTTATTGGATACGTCAGGGCATGTTGGTATATGTAACCTATGTCTTAAGCTCGGCTCAGGGACTTAATACAGAAAACAGAGGAAACCGTGAGACCGAATAAAAGGAAAAAGGCACTCGGACCGAAATAACCAGTCTGTTAGTCGGTCTCCGATTCCTTGTGCCAAACCGCACAGTCCGTCACACAAGCGTTTCCTTAAATATAGATAATTTATTTTATCTGTATATGGTTATCCGCGTAAAGATCGCCAATTTTATAAGCACATAGAAAATGACCGTGAATCATATGTCTATTCTTCAAATACGATTCAGAAAAAAGAATCGGCTTTGTTGGCAATGCCTGATCCTTAAAGCTAATTTTCTTAGCAGTACTCTAGCAGTAGTATTCTAACATATCATGTTGCGTGAAAATGATCGTAGAATTTGTTCATGCCTTTTTGATAAATATTGAATGCTTTTATAGAAAATAACCAGTATTTATTGTTTGTATGATCAAATTATACACGTAGTCCATAAAACTAGTCAATGGTTAGGAAAATAACATTCCTGAAATCGCAATATTAATCTCTTAGCACACATTTACCGACTAGTTGGTCGGTTCTACATAACAAAAGAACTAAAAGGTCTGATGGAAAAATATAATTTGTATTTTGAAAGACTTATTCTTATTTATGACACAGATTTCTACAATATTGTTCTCACTTAAAAGATCATTTCTTTAAGGGGAAACAGGTCAGCTTGTAGTCACGCAAATCTCCTCTATTCTATATTTTGACCTGCACCTCACACAAACTATGTACGTATAGCGATGACATACTTATCAGTTAATTTTTTTTTGCTTTGGCTAGAGAAAGGATTTGTGTGCGTTATATACAAACAACACATGTATTAGACAGTGAAATAGGACGGTGATAAAAAAGAAAGATATTCACTACGCGAAATGCTGCATATTCAAGTTATAAAACAACGCTCAATGAATTATCAAACATCAAACATCAATCATTATTTGCCTCTGTGTATGAGAAAAAATAATCATTTTGTTTACTCATGTATCAGAGTGGATTTTATTGATTTTTCTGCATTTATATAACTCTTCATGTATCAGTTTGCTTAGTTAAACTAGCTGTTAATTAATACGGTAATATAAAAAAAGTGCCAAATAAAAATATTAATTTTAAATTCTTTTTTTTTTCTGTAATTCTAAATTATTATTTTGTTCTGTTGGGAAATGATCCATAAGATAATAAAAGGAATAACTAGTTATGGGTATACCTAAGCGTAAACTTGGCATAGTAACCTTGAAGATGGTTCAGCACGACATTATTGTTGTGCTTGTGGTATTTTAGTTCTTTCTTTTCGGCATCTTCTTGTTGGGTGTTTCCAGTATTTCTCACTTGAATACTGTTAAATCACCCTTAGGATATGTGGCCTGCTTTTTAAACTTGTCTTTTGACGTCATAACTACGATATACAGGCTTCATAACCTTAGATCTCCTTTCAAAATTCATTTTTATTTAGTTCCGCTCATTGTTTCCCGTTAAGGGCACACACATTTTATTTTACTTAGGGACCATATGCCGCTTTTCATGAAATGGCACTTACGTGTCACATTGAAGGTTCCATGATGACCGCCATATGAACACATCTGTGGATGTTTCAAAATTCTGAATTTTACCAGTTACATGTTAAATGTTGAATTCTGTTTAAGCCGGTGCTAGTGGGCGTGGACGGTAGTTTGCACTTTACAGTACCGTCAATGAACTGGCTCAATTAAACCGAGCCTGCAACATTTTTAATTATGCTGTGTTGGGCTTTCTTTAGGGATTCTGATTTCTCTCTTTTTTGAGACTAATAATCCGATCTTAAAAATTCTCCTCATATTAGTTATATAGGCTGAATAGACTTTTATAGTGGTGGACGATTAAAGTTAATTATGTTAAAAACGTTGACAAATCTAAAAAAAAAAAGTTCAGTCCACAGTCGTGCGTATTTTTATACTTTATAGCACGATGTAACCTCCGTAAAGCAGCCTCATATAAAAGAAACACCTCATTACAACAACATAATAAAGTCTTCCTAATCTAAGTTTTAACACTGAATTTATAGTAACACCACTCAGCAACAGCCAAAATATTTGCCTCCCAAAGGGTCTGCTCTGCAGAGGTTTTACTGTACACTTAAAATACTGTCTAAAAAACTGAAATATTAGAAATATAGTAATCAATGCATAATAAAACGTGTGTTGTTTCGTTACATTTTAGAAAAATTACTTAAAACGACCATCTCAATACACCTTTTAGTGTATTGTTGTAATTTGCAACATTGTAAAATTAGTTTTGCCTACCTAATTGAATATCACCCTATTTAATTTAAGCTAGTAGGGCTAACAAGACATCATGTAAATTGAGAAGCTTCGATTTGCTTGTAGTTCAAATATACTTAAGAAATAATATCGGTCTGAGCAATCGGCTAGTGAACACCGGTTTATGGTTTCGATGCGTAGAAATTGACTACGAAGGCGGTAGTCTCATTCTGAAGCCTTTTCGAACTTTTACTTTCTTGTCATGCGATTGCACCGTGGAACCAGGCTAAAATTTAAAGGGGAACTGTTTTGCATTGGGCATTACACATCGGTTGCATTGCATTGTATAAAACGTTCGAATTTTCCTATTTATGTTGGCTTCGAGCTGAAATTTCTTCAGAATACCGGAAAATCGGATAACTTAACGAAAAGAAAATGATATTGAAATATAATTTTCCTCAATGCTGTCCAATAATTTAAGACTTTGTTACTTTTAAGAGCCAGTGATTATGCAATATACTATTAAGGTATATATAATATTTGAAGTCAGTCCTAGTGTTTATTCTGTAACTGTTTTATCGCATGACCATGCATGGGGCGACAAATAGGTCAATTATGGAAATTAATCTCGACGTTCCGTCTCGATT